AGAGTATTGTTCTTGAATATTAAGTTTCAAAGATCTAACAATGGACTGCAAAACTTCTTTATAGTTAAAAATAGGAGATCCTTATTTTTTTAGATTTTAATACATCAGGCTTGGTTACTTCAAATTCTAAATTGATTAGCTACATAAAAACAATTGATAATGAAATATTTTCACTGGCATCCATGTAGATTATCAATTCACAACAAAATGAAAGCACAACTTTTTAAATATCCACTATATTTTCTTAGTAAAACTAATAAAGATATGAGAAAAACATTTAGTCACACTGAAATCTGCCGTAAATTAAAAGGTAGCTTATTTAGATACAAAGGCAGGAAAAATAATGAATATGGTTTACGTTACATTAGATATGTTTTTAAAAATGCTATCTACCCTAAAGATCATGGATAGCATTTCATGCCAAGCCTCAATATTACATTGTTTGCCTATATAATCTTGAAAAAATGAGCTGTGTGAAGTGAGAGTGAGAAAGAGAGAGAGAGACTGTGTGTGTGTGTGTGTGTGTGTGTGTGTGTGTGTAGAACTCAGGACTCTGAGCTAGATAAACTTAAGGCTAAAACCTAATTTCATTATTGGCTGCCTTAAGATCAAGTTGTTTAACATCGCTCTCAGCTTCCTCAGCTATGAATACAGATAGTAGTAATCCTTACGTCTTACTTGTGTAAGGTTCTTGTGAGGATTTAAAAATAAAACAGGTATAAGGTACACAGCACACCTCTCCAACACACTGAAAAGCAGTATGACATGCTCACCCACACTATTATTTTACCCAACATCATGCAAAACAGTCACAGGGAAGACCAGGTAAAAGAGAATGATCAATAATCCAAAACTCAGCTCCAAACCTAAAATTAAGTTCTCAGAAGGCACACGCATATACAGAAGCATTTATACGCACAAATATCATCAGCACACTAATCCTCATGCCCCATTATGCTGCACAAATGACAGAAAGACAGCAGTGAGACCAATGTTATTTCCAATAAAGGATTTGCAGGGCCACAGAAAATTAGCAAATCAAAACTTGTTTTTTGAAATAACAAATAAAAAGCACAGTTTGGAACTCCTTATCTTGGGCTTCAGTTTTCTTTGCCTGTATAATGAAGGCACTGGGCAGCATTTCTAATGGGTTTCTATGCCCAAAATTCTATGATTCTAACATAATGGGTTTAATGCCACTGTACTTTTTTTTTAACCTATTAAATTACTCTGCCCTTTACAAAAAGCCAAAGAACCCTTATGAATTATACCATTTACCAATTTATGGCTGTTTTCTCACACACACACACACACACACACACATACACACACACAAATTTAAGTAGCTCTCCTCAACAAATACCTTTAAGGGGAAACCAATCTTTTTTTTCATGCCATCACTATGAACTCAGAATTAATTCAGGACGCTGACCACGTGAATTTTCTGTATTATACACAACTACCCACTGGACTGATTATTTTGCCGCCTCAATGAATTCACTAAATTGGTATATCATTTTTGTCGTCATGTGGATGCCGGTCAGCAAACCTATATAAATTTCAGCAATACTTTCTTCTTCCAGAAGTGACTCACAACAGACATGCTGTGTGTTTTAATGCTGCTCTTAACTGTTCAAACACTCGTTCATGTGACAATCTTTTCACAACACCTGAACACCTCAGTAAAACTAAACAGTTACAGGGAAAAAAAGCTCAACTTTTAAACTAAGGGAGAAAGATGTAGTGTCTGTCGTAGGCTAGCAGTAAATACATGTAACAGATGTGGCCAGACCTGATCTAGTTCCTTAGAATGTATCACTTTAGTGGCCCAACTTGAAAATGACTTTTTAAAAAGATCCCAAAGCTATTATGTTTATCTTTTCCTCCAAGAGTCAAAGGTAACCAAATAAACTGTCCTTTTGCTATATCAGAAAATCAAGCCCATATTCATCAATAAATTATAGACACTTTAAATTATTTTTTATTTTTGGTAACTTAGGCATAGAGAGTAATCTTCCAATTATCCAGGCACATGGATGCTTTTAGTTTGTTTTAAGATCAATGATATAACGGATATTAAATCTCTTTATTTAAGTTACCATATAGGTTATAACTATTTCTTAAAAATAATTCCAGAGCCCACCAATTTTCCCTGTTAAGGTTATGGAAGCTCTGAACCATCATGGCTGAATTGTTTTAGTGCTTTCTGCTGAACACCTGCAAACATCAAACAAAAACTGCTAGTCCCTTCCTGGGTTGACAAAAGCCTTTCATGTGAAAAACGCTCCCTGGGAATGTCAGGCTGTAGCTCAGGTTACATTCCATTCTCCCTAGCAGCCCCACCATTTCTTAAGGTGGTAGGAAAAACCATGTTTGTGAAATGAAAGATTAAAGGGAATATGGCCATACTTTATTTTTATTCTCACATTGCAAATCACTATGGAGCATCCTATATTAATGGAATCAAAAGCTATTGGGAACTTTAAGCATGAATTATTACCATGCCTCACTTTGAACAACTATGGCTGATTTTTCAAACAGAAACAGTTTACTTATAGTTTAGAGCGTTCTTTCCCAGATCCAAGTTTCAAAGCAACCCATGAAAGGGACATCTGAGTCCACTCAGGACAATGGATATTATCTTGAAGTAAACTTAGAAAATTATTTCTCTCTCCGAAGTTTCCTAGTTGATTCTTCCAATTACAGGGCAAAATGCAGTTTTCACGATTTTAAAACGTGTTAAAAAAGGTTTAACTCTTTTAAGTGGAAATTCAACCCGTTTCCTTAACTAATAGCCCTGTGTTCAAATATATCTTGATAGAGGGAAATTGAGCACTCCAATCTGTACCCTATATATTACAGTCACCAACATACTACTTGAAATGAATACCCTGCATTTTCAATCAGGAAGCCAGAATAAAAGGACCATTACACTTTTTACCCTTACAAGTAAACATCTGGTCCTGAAAACACCACTTATGGTACAACGTAACTTCAAGTTCCACACCTTAAAAATAATCACTGTGTTTGCATTAGAAGTAGTGTAACATGACTTACTAAGAGTGAAGTATCTCTCCATGTTTGCATGCATGAACGTGTATGTGTGCGTGTGTGTTAACTGTCTTAAAAATTGTGTAAGTTTTGATATATGATCACTTAACCAAAATGCATTAATGCACACTCAGCTTATCAAACCTGTACTCTCTATAAACATTTAAACATCACAGCAAGGACTTTATTTAAATGTGAACACAGAAAATGGATCATACAGTTGTCTTTTTAAATATAACACAAACTCATATTTCTAAACACCTTACTTTATTAAATGATATCTAAAGTAATATTCTTATTATAAATACGTTTCCACAACATTGCAAACTCGTTTTTTAGCATTGACTTTAAAAGTAGTCTATCTCTGTGCCTGTCTGACATAACCTACTTTTAGATTTAAACTGAATACACATTTTTTAAGTCATAAAAATTACTGTCAGAGAAACTGTTTTGATATTATTTAACATGAAAAATTAATTTGGCCACAAAAGATACTTGTCCTTACCTTTACGTCAAACATGCATATTAATATTTTCCATCTTAAAAGTTGCACAGAGGACACCATACAGAAATTTAGAAGATATAATACTAATATAAAAACTGTCCTAAGTCCCTAAGTGGAAAACATAACAAGGTCCAGGATAGTAAAACACAAACGTATTGTCAATGATCCTTTTAATCCATGTGTACCAAAAAACTAAAATAAAAATACAAGAGGCACCTCATATTTTTTAAAACAAGTTATAGAGACACAAATTCCCTAAACTTAGGGGGGGCCAGTAGAAGGAGAGGGGACTTATTTGGAAATGAGCAACTTTTAAAAGCCATTAGTTTTATAAAAATATACCAAATACACAAATCACATAGGTGAACAAACTTCTTTCATTGCTATAACACCAAATGAATATTAAGAGATGTGAAATTATATTCATAGTTGACAAGACAATTTCACTGGCATCTCACAGCTAAAAGATGTCAACATTTACCAGTCTGACTTAAGAACACTCCTCAGCCTAATGTACTGTTATATACCATTGCCAGAACTCCTAAAATACTGCAGCTGTTTAACAAGCATAAATGGATTTAAGCCTTGGACTTAAAGGATAGCAGGCAACAATGTAGAACTCTTTCTTATTTAAAATTCATTGGACTAAAAAAAAATACATTTTAAATGAATATTTTCAGTCTGCACTTCTAATAAGAGATATTCAAATAGCCCTGTAATAAACCCCTCCTTAAATGCCAGATAATCACTGTGCAGAGATTCCTTTGTGAATAGTGCTAGCGTTTTTAAGCATCACCCAAAGATTTTTCATTTATAAAACGTAAAAGTTCTTGCAGATTTGCAACTTTAAATACAGCAAAAATTCATTGCACAAGTAAATGATTGGGGAAAAAAACAGCTAAGGCATCAAAAAGGGTATTTTAAATATAAATGAATTCATATTTAGCCTCTCAGATTAGCAAGAGGTTATTTACAGCTATGGTTTACTACATAGCATTCATCTGCAGAATTAAGTGTCCATTTCTTTAAAAGGGTTAATTGTATATAGTACCTAATAACTGATATTATTTACAAGGGATTTCCCTGTTTTATGAATGTTAAGATATTTTCCTCTTATTTTCAAAAAAAAACATTAATTTATTCCCCAAGTTAACACTGGTCTTATCTTCATGTGTTTGATTACAACTATATTAGAAAATTGCTTTTAAATTAAGTGATGGATGTTGAAAGAGTTTCCTTGATTTTAAAAAAAGACCTAATTTTAATTGCACAAGATAACGTTTTGTGCAAGTTATACCACTGATGGGGTAATGCAATAACCATAGGATTATAGGCTAAAATTCAATGACTTTCTCAGAACACTTCAACACAGCCAAAAACACACAACTGAGCAAATAAACAGCTAAGAACATTTCACTTCACACTAAGAAAGAAATTTACATACTTGAGCCAGTAAAATGTCCACTCGCCAAAGAAGTTGGTCCATTTTTCCCACTGCTCACAGGAGGTGAAAACATCTAAAAGAAACAAAGAAATATTACAGTTGAAAAGAAGACATTTGTGCCTTCAGAGTTCCTCAAAGATCTTTCATACTGTTACCAAACAGCCTAGAGTTTATGCTAAGGGTTTATTTAGTAAAATACATCACCATCCAACTTAAAACTAAAAGAAAAACATTACAAATCCCACCCCCCGCCCCCATTAGCACTCTGTTCTTTCTTTTTCCTCAGGTTCATTAGATGGCCAAGCAGTCCTACTACATTTGGAACAAACACAGTCCCCATGATGTTATCAAGATTCAGGTTGGAGGCCAGCAGCCTCTCTAGAAAACACTAGTTTCACCAAAGAGAAGAAAAAAGTTGTCTGTTTTATATTGAAAACCTTGGCCATAAACGTGGCAATGTCCCTTTCCATCCCGTATAGGATTTGCCTGTCATATGTGAACCCAAATAAAAATAAAAGTGCCACCTGCACTAAATTCTCATTTCGTCTCTAACAGGAGAGCAATTTGAAGCAAGACTCTCTCTCTCTCTCTCTCTCTCTCACTCTCACTCTTTCACTCCCTCTCTCTCTCTCCAGCATTTATTTCGACCCTAATTGGTTTCCCTCTTCTTCGACGTATCTAGTGGATAATGCACACCTTCCCTGAGTCAGAGCCTGCAAAAAGCAAAGGAACGAATGGAGAAAGTGCAACAAGCAGAAAGGGGGCTGCAAAGCTGCCTAGGGCTATGTTTCCTGGCAAAACTTCCGAAAGCCATTTCTCCAAAAGAAGGTCTAGAAGAAGAGGAGCAGGAGGAGGCGGAGGAGGAGCAGCAGCAGCAGCAGCAGCAGCAGCAGCAGCAGCATGAAAGAGCCCCACTTGGAAGGCGGTTTGGATTTTATTTGTGTGTTTTGTGGATTCTTTTTATTTTGCTTTACAAATGCATCTTACACCAAACTCATCTGGCATTAAAAATGAATTCATTCCCCTGACATGTCTGGGACTTGGTTTAGGAAAGGGAAGCAAAGGGATGGAGAAGGACCAAGGACAGCCGTAAAACTCCACAAGTGTGTTAAGTTCCGCTTTGTGCTGATCTCACGACTACGAAATTTACCAAAACAGTCCAAAAGGTTCTAAAGAATGTATGTTCAGCATATCCATACTACTTTTAAGAATCCTAGGAAAAGATACAACTAGGAGGTAAGATGTAACTAACAGGTCCTACTAATCCAAAGCATCATCAGCTTAAAACTTTAAAGAGACAACTGGGTCTCCTATTTTCTATTTTCCATTTCCAAAAACCATAAATAAAACGAAAAGTAGTGTGCAAAGTATCAATACTCTCAATGTTCAGACACGGCCAAGTTTTAGGGGTGGTTTACTTTTAGGGGTGTCTACTTTTGCTTTCCACTGGGGTGAGATTCCATTATTTGGAATTCAGTGGGTAAGGAATTCAAGGCCAGTAAGAAAACTAAAAAAAAAAAAAAAAAAAAAAAAAGCAGCCTGAATCTTCCATCACACCCCAAAATTATAGTTAAAAACTTATCAAAAAGACCTTTATATTTGCCAAGGATTCAGCCAGTTAAAAATTATTCCTGTCCTTTAGATTACTACTAGTCTCTAGCTGAAGTGTTTGGGTTTTTGTTTTGTTTTTTTCACAGCTGTTGTTAGTTTCCACCGTTCTTTCTTACCGCACTGAAATCCAGTAAATCACTCAGCTCTTTGTCCGTCCCTAAGGCAGCCATTCGCTGTTGGTGATGCATTTTAGCAAAATCACACAAACCTAGAAACATGGAAATAACCGCAATCAGAAAATCCAGTCCCAATCCTTGGAGAAAACACAATCGGATTTTTGGAGACTGGGGGGTTGGGGGTGGGAACGTGGGGGCGGGTGGGATTAAGGTGGAAAGGAGGAAGGGATGGGAGACTTCTTGTTGGGTTGGGTTTGGTTTTGTTTTTTTAAGATGGAATAGGCAGCAATAGCAAAAAAGAAAAAAAAAGGAGAAAAAGCAATATTGTATTTCCAAAGAGACGATCAAACTGGTAACATCCACTATAAAACCAAATCCGGGAAAGAAAAAAAAAAGCCGCTCTTCAGCGCATCATTTTATGCAACAGGAGGTAGAGCGAGAAATGAATGGATCACAGAGAAAAGAGAAACTACTGAGAACGATCCGGTCTCAACTTTCCCCCCACCCTGCACCCCACCCCCCTCGCACACTCACACTCGCACACGCACACACACTCGCACACACCACTCCCCTCCGCTTTTCAAAGTAGCTATCAAGAAATTAAAGACGAGCGTCTCCGGAGTGAAAACACGTCCAAAGGGGGAGGGGTGGGGTGACGAAGGGGGGAGCAGAGTGGAGGGTCGGGTCCCGTAATTGTCCAGCACCCTAATTTGTGAAAGAAAGGGGTTATAAAAATTAAAGTCAGGCCCCTGGCAAAGTCCTCGGGCCCTCCGAGGGGGCACTGCGGGGAGGGGCGGGGGGGCTGCTGGCGGCGAGGGGGTGGGAAGCGGCGGGAGGGGAAGGGGTGTCTCTTCTGGGAGCGCCGGGCGCCGGGAGCCCGCGGCGCGGGAGGCGCGGAGCCGCGTGCGGGGCCGCAGAGCCCGAGCCCCGCGCCGCCGGGCGCCTCCGCCCCGCCGAGCCCCGCCGGCGCCGGTACCTACCGCCCGCGCGCGAGAAGGGGCTCTCCGTGCACCGCCGGCGCCGACGCGGCGTTCATGTCTAACCGCCGCCGCCACCGCCGCCGCCGCCTGCTCCTGCGCCCGCTCCCGCGCCTGCTGCCTCCCCGCCGCCGCCGCCGCCGCCACTACAGATCCGCAGACACACAGCCAAGATCCCTGACTCTTAACACCAACTCTCTTCTCCGGGGAGGGGAGGGGACGGAGGGAAGGGGGGAGGGGGAAACACGCCGAGGCGCACGGAATTGCAAGTTCAGCAAAGAAATAGGTGGGGGGGCTCCGGCGGGGAGACGCGGCTCGCTCCGGGTCGGGCTGGCTGGGATGCATCCCCCCTCGCACCCACCCCGAGGAGAAAAAAAAAATCTCAACACCTCCCCCGCCTCGCCAAAAAATACAAACGAAAATTCATCGAGCACCTCATTTTTCCTCAGATCGTCAGTTACAATCTGAAGCCTGAACAGTTCAGTTTTTGCCCGTTGCATCCCTCGGAGGCACTTTGAAATTTATTCGAGTTTACATCCCCTTACTTCTTTCTTTCTCTTACTCGCGTTCCCTCTCACTCACACATCCACACACGGCAAAGCAAGTTTATACTAGGCTGCAAATACACGTGATGCAAAAAGACTTTGCCAAGAGGAACAATATTTTTCTTTTTCGCCTGTAAATCAAGCCATATTTTGCTGGGGAGATTTTCGTTTCGGTAGTTTTGCGTTGGGGGCGAAATCTGAATTGCATACTTTCTTTGCTCTCCCTTTTAAGTCACAGAATAGTATAGCTGCAAACTTCGAAAAAAAAAAAAAAAGGCAATTTTGGGGGGTGGATGTTGTTTTGTTTTTGCACTTGAGTTCCCAGGCACGCTAAGTCCCTGTTCGCCAGCACTGTAAGTTTTTAATTCAACATTTACCATTATAGGCCCTGCATGCTCTTAAAACATACTTTTTCACATCACTTTTTAAAATAAAAATTAGGCTCCACAATTCTCTCGTTTCGTAATAACAAGCGTGCTTTAACCAGATATGCAACATACGCTATTTTAACGTGTGTTTAAAAAACACACACACACATTCTACAAACCCTGGTATTGCTAGATGTGCGAGTACATACACAAAATGCATGCACACACGTTTTCCCATTGGCAATTATTTAATAGGTTGTTCCTTTTGTTTTAATAAAACATCGGGATCGACATTTTGAAAATTAAATTCAATTACAAACAGTTTACTCTGACGGCAAATTGAAACGTTACCTTAAATGGCCACAAATATTCTCACAATATTCCAAGGAAAGAGACTTTTAAAAGAGAGACAAAAAATCTTCTGCAAGTACTTAGTATCTCACATGTGTATCCCCAAAAAGTATTTTAACTGGTACTCAGTCCTGCTCCAGGGATATCCACAGATAACAAGATTATGCACCTGGCTGTGGTTTTTGCATTTTCCACCATAAAACTGCAACAAAATTCCCTCCCACAAGAGAGAAATCATTAAAAAAAAAAAAATCCAACAACTTTTCTTATTGTTTATAAAAAAAAAATCAACAGGATAGTTATAATTTTTCCTCAAACAAATCTTGGTGGTGGTTTTTTTTCTTCTCCTCTCATAAAGTCTTAAACTTGTTCCAAGTTTAGAGGTGTCTCATCATCATCATCCTCCTCATCATCATCATCACCATTGACTCCCCCGTGGAGTCACATTGATAATAATAGGTTTCCCTGAAAGATACATTGTAATCCATTCACATCCGGGAACTGCGGGCTTATAAAGAGAAGGAGCTGCGGCCGCGGCTGCTCCTCCAGACAATGACTGGGAAGGGGCGGGGCGGGAGCTGGGCGACCATAGAGTAGTAAACAGAGCGCCTAGAGAGGCGCCCAAGATGGCGGCGCGCGGCGACCACGCCTCCTCCGGGAGCGGAGGCGGGTGGCCGGGCTCGAGTGGGCGTCGCGCGTGGGGCAGCACTGCGGGAGTTCCCGAGGCTGAGGTGGTTCGCAGGCCCCGTTTGCCTGCGCTCTTTTTGGTGTTTCCACTTCTTGGCCGTCCTTGCTTTTTGACACAAAAGTGTAGTTTTGGCATAAATTTACGAATTAAACTCCACAGACTTCCGCAGGAAAGTGAGGTCCACCCTGGTCTCCCTGAGAAAGGCTCGTGGAAGACCGGGCCGGCCTCTCTCTCAGCAAGCCCGACCCTTAGCTTTCGCACTTTGTGGAGCCGGATTTCTCAGGGAGCCTTGGGTGACACGGGAAAAGGCCTCTGAGTAAAGTTGGTCCTAGGCTGGAAGAACCTATCTCCCCACCCTATCTTTTTATAAGTCCCTGGAAGTGTGAAAACTAAGTCCAGAAGATCTTCGCTTGGAGAAGACCTTCATTTATTGCTTTGTAGACTCAAATGTAGTTTGTACCATAAGCCATGACTGGCTCAACTTCCATTTCTGGTCAAGCAGTTATCTTCTCTAGCCTATTTTCTGGTCTGTGAAAAGCAAGTACCAATGCCCGCTTTACGAATTTTGTAGTGGATACAGATAAAGATGAAGCCAGCACGAAAGAAATAATTCCTTTCCATATCTTAATTTGTTGCTAAATTAATTGATACCTCTAACGTAGCCAATGGAATTTTAAATGGTGATTTCCCTACTCTGAAAGAATAGCTTTTAGTCCTTGCAACAGAAAAGCAAGTAATAATAATGACAGGTAACACACATAGTGTGTTTACTATATGCCAAACACTGTTCTTAGAATTTCACAAATATTGGCTACTTTAAGGCTAAGAATAACCCTGCGGAGTATGTGTTACTACCCTCTTTTGTATATTGGAAAACAGAAGCAAGTAAAATTGAGTAGCTTGACCCAGGGCAGAAGTTTAGTGAGTGGTACAGACTGGGCTAAGTCACACAACTATATTGAGTGGCAAAGCCCACCTTTGAAACCAGACAGTCTGTGATCACAGTCCACATTCAACCATGTCCTTATGCCATCTGGCAGTGGGAACATCCTAATCTCCATTTTCGGATAAAGTTTGTGGCAATAACAGAGTTCAGATCAATTTCGGGAATCTTTTATTTACATGTAAGTTTTTACACAACAACAATCAGGACTTTTATTGGTTGTTTCCTGTATATTCACACATTGTGAAGATTCCTGTCTTCCATCCTCATTCCATGTTCTCTCATCTTAAAGTAATATTTTACATTTAGACACTAAATGTTGCATTATCACAGGTGTTATCCCCAATTCTCAGAGTTAAACCCTGCAGGCTCTGCTTAGATGATGTAATGAAAAGATCACAAACGTTGGGTTAGGAGAAATAGTCCACTGGCTCTACCTCCATCATTCTGTGACCTAAGGCCCAATGTCAATGTCTTTTGCTGTAAAATCCAGAGGTCAGATTAGATAATCCAATAAAACCCCTTCTAGCTTTTAGGTTTTTATGACTCCTCATTCCACCGAATTTCAAGGACAATAAATGATCTATCCAGAAACCAGTGATAGGATGAGGCTTGAGATCTAAAGGTATCCAAGTGCTAGTCTTGTTGCTTGTTCATTTTTTGATCCTATGATCAGAAAACCATGGAACTATCGCTTGTATTTTTAATTTCAGGGACGAATGTAGGTGTTCTGTCTTCTTTTTTTTTTTTTTTTCTTAATTGTCAGAGTTATGTACTTTCCAGTTATACTTAGAAGATTGGGGGCTCCTAAGAAAAGGAGAACCAAGAGGATCCTGTGAAACCTAAATTAAAAAGGAGGGGTAGTAGGTACGTTTTGGGGTGCCTCTTCAATTTGCAGACTCCGTTGCCTAGGAACCTGTTCATAAATCCTGATATAGAGATATGTCTTAGTCAACTCAGGCTGGCCAAAATACCACAGACTGGGTGACTTAAACAGCAGACTTTTATTTTTCACACCCCTGGAGGCTACAAAGTCTGACATCAAGGGGCCCATGGTCAAGTTCTGGAAAGGGCTCTCTTCCTGGCTTGCAAATGACTACCTTCTCACTGAATTATCACTTGGTGGAGAAAGAGCTTTGATCTGTCTTCCTCCTCTTATGAGAATTCTAATGCCATCATGGAGGCTCCACCTTCGTGATCTCCACTAACAATAGTTATCTACTAAAGACCCCATATCCTAATATTAGCACATTGGGAATTAGGGTTTCAACTGAATTTTGGAGGGGCCATAAACATTCAGTTCATAGCAAGGTAGAACTTGATTGGGGCGTCGCATGACTCCTTCTTGCCCCAGCCGGACCAGCCCAAGCAGATTGGATTCCAGGAGCAAAAAGAGGAAGAGACTGACCGTGGTCTATGGCGAATGGTGGATCGGACACATCTTGTAAGCTGGCCAGATCTGGTCCCAGCAAGCTAAGCCATGTGAGAGCCATGGTTATAGGGAAACAAGAACCATGAGTAAGCAGAGGAAGCAGCTCTTCAGATAAGAGAGAACGGTCTTGGGAGTTCCAAGAACAGCAGACAAACAATTAAGTCCTAGGAAGAAATGCCTAGAGATTCTTTCCCAATTACTAAGAGGAGTGCAGTAACCCCTGCCCAAGAGATTGCTCATGCCTGAAATGTTCCCCTTCCCCAGGTGAGCTAAACTAAGTACTTTTCTGATCCTTACTGCTAAAGAACTTAACTCAAAAAAAGATTCTTTAAATTACAACACTGTCATTAACATTTTTTCTAGGCCACATGCAATGGCTCATGTCTGTAATCCCAGCACTTTTGGAGGACAAGGTGGGTGGATCACGAGGTCAGGAGTTCAAGACCAGCCTGGCCAAAATGGTGAAACCCTGTCTCTACTAAAAATACAAAGATTAGCCGGGTGTGGTGGTGGGTGCCTATAATCCAAGCTACTCGGGAGGCTGAGGAAGGGAACTACTTGAACCCGGGAGTTCAATGAGCCAAGATCATGCCACTATGCTCCAGCCCCAGTGACACAGCAAGACTCTGTCTCAAAGAAAAAAAAGCTTTTTTTTTTTTTTCTAAAGTAGTGACTGCTATTCTAGGGGGTAAACTAAAGAAAATTTGCTTCACTCCCACATGAGAGAGACCCTGTCTGATTCATTGTGCCACCTGTAATCAGGACAGCACAGACAAGTGGGTCATTCATGCTCTTTTCTATCTCTTTGTGACCTTGGGCAAGTTTCACATTATGTCAGATGTAAAAAAAAAAAAAGTATAGCTATCTTAAATACCTTACATGGCATGTTAAAATCAAATGAGATAGTGTAAATCAAGGTGCTTTGTAAACGAGAAATTTCTTTCAGATGTAAGGCATCATTATTGCATGAGCTGAGTTAATGCCTAACGATCACGCTTCTTTCACAGTAGTATGGGAGGAGTGGCAAATATTGATATCTCATGGATTCATAGAAAAAAAATGATATGTTGAAGGGTACTTGGACCAAAGCCTTCATTTATAGTCGAGAATGTCAGGGCTCAAGTGGGATGACTGGTACAAGGTCATGTTAATGAGCGGCAGAGCCAGGCAGCCCTCTGGTAATCAGAACGCCGTACCATTCATTCTCCTCCAAATTCGATCCAGTTTGTTCTCAAATGTAATGTAATTTCATGGACTTGAAGAATGAAAGATTGTCAAAGATACATTTTTTCCTTTTCTTTCCCCAAGCCCCCAAAAGTCCAATCTGTGTTAAAATAAACAAATAGAGCCACAAACAACAACAATTAGCTCTCTGATGCGCTAATGAAATTCATCCAAAGACGCATCAGGTAATTTTTGAGCATCTACATTGTGTCAGCAGCTATTCTCTCAGGACCTGAGGCAAAAATGTAGGCCAAAAAAAAAAAAAACCTCAGAATGAGATAAATGTCAAGGTCAGTCTTGATTGAATGGCTAAGTCACAGTAAGCAAAATACAGTCTGTGGCAGATATGTGGAAAGGGAAGACTGTTCCAGCATATTTTTAGGTTGGTATGTCAAATGGGTGTAACCAGCTAGGACCTCAATCTGGAGCCCTACTCACACTGTAAGTCTGAGTCAGAAAGGCAGCTGGCAAGAGGGATGGGGAGAGCTTCAGACAGTTTTGTGTGAAATAAGTCCAGAGATTTATGATACACACAGTCCTACACACCCCAGGGCCTTTGCATATGCTGGTCTCTTAATTATTTCCCTCGCTGTTCACAAGGCTAACTCCATGTCATCCATCCTTCTGGTCTCAGCTTAACCATCACTTCCTCCTACAGACCTTCCTAATTATTCTGTCTAAAGTAAGCCCTTGATCGTATTATTCTCTGCCATAACATTAGCTTAGGGGCACTTTGCCCAACAAGGATCCGAATGTTAAATGTTGATGCATTTCCTTTTACATCGCCCATCTCCCTCATCAGACTCCATGTTGCCAGAGTACATGAATCTTGTCCACTCCATGTCTCTACACCCACCACAGTGCCTGGCACATATAAGGTATTCAGTAACTATTTGTTAAATACGTGAATGAAGACTCTGTACCCTCAAGATGCACACTTTACCCTGAAGAGTGCAGCTTTTATATTTTTTCAAATCAGTTTTTCTTGGGGTTTCATTTTAGCTTGATTTCATTGTTAGCGAATGTTGCTGGTGAGTTTGATTTCCCAAAGGCTGCTGACTCCTGTCACTTAAGTTCTAGATCCTAAAGATGTAAGTGGGATAATTGCCTTACTTTACCAAGCCATGGGGACAGTGTCTTCGTTATTATTAATACGATACAAGCTGCTGTCATTGTACTGCTTCACTGTTAAGACATTTTAACATTTTACAGAGGAGGAGACTGAAAAGTCTGGAGCTATAGTGAATTGCCCAAGATGATGCAGCTGCATAC